ATGCTATGGGTTGGAAGTGTTTTAATACTTCGACATGTTTCATACGATCAACCAACAATCGAATTTACTGCCAAGGTCAAAGTTGCTTACGATTGGGAAATTCTATATGAGAATCTATTCGATATGCGAGTTTATCGAATAAATCTTAATATTGAATTACCTAAAGGCAATGATGATGAAAAAATTTGTTGGACAATCGATTGGGGTGATTATTCAACAAATGGATTCTTTCATATTGCTCAATATGATCAAAAATGGCGTGGTGGATTTTTTTCCTGTAATGGCTTTGATGCTACTGTTACGAAAGAAGTTGCATTAGGGTTAACTTATAATTCTGTTTGGAATCATCTTCTTTCTTGTCATGAAGAAAATCCATTTCATCTGTTAATTTGGGGTGGTGATCAAAATTATCATGATTTTATTTTTGATGATATTCCATTTCTTCAAGATTGGACCAATATAGAATGGAATAAAAGATGGACATATCAATTTCCAGATGAATCAAAACACGATGTTGAACAATATTATTTTAATAATTATTCTGAAAATTGGGCACGTCGACCAGAAATGAGAAAAGCATTAGAATCGATTCCAAGTGTAATGATGTGGGATGATCATGATATTTATGATGGTGCTGGATCCTATCCTCCATTACTTCTCAATAGTCCAATCATGATGGGATTATTAGAAATAGCACAAAAAATGCGTCTTCTTTTTCAACATCATACTACACCTGAGAAAGCTCGAAAACATCAATTATTCGGCTATAAAGGTCATAATTATCTTGCTCGATGTGGTCCTAATTTAGCACTTTTAGGTGCCGATGGTCGTACTGAACGCAATGATAAAACAGTGCAACATGAAAAAACGTGGGATTTAATCTTTGAAAAATTGGATAACGATCTAAACAATGTCAAACATGTGATCATTGTATTTGCTGTTCCATTTTCATTTGCACGTTTTACATTAGCCGAATCATTTCTTGAAACATGGAAAAAAATAACTATGGCATGGGAAAGTATGCCACTTCGTAACCAAACAAATTCAGTTTTTGGTTTGCCTGAACTCTATGATGATCTTCTGGATGAATGGACACATGGATCACATATTGATGAACGAGATCGTGCTCTTTCTCGTTTTCAAGAAATTGCTCATAAGAATAAAATAAGAATAACATTTTTCAGTGGTGATGTTCATTGCTGTGGTGTCAGTCGATTTCAAACTCGAGGAAAAACTGATCTATCAGATATTAATGATTCCAAATTAATGTATCAAATAATTTCATCTGCTATTGTTAATAGACCACCACCAAGTATAGTTATTCGTGCTGCTCATCTTTTCGCTACTACATGGTACCCAAATACTAATACTGAAGAAGCACTTCTTGATTTTTTTGAAGAAGCACCACATGGATCAAGATTATTTCTGCGAAAATTGCTTCCAAATCGAAATTGGTGCTATTTTGAACAGTGTACAACAATGGATTCGACTCCTCCTAATAGAGTTATGCAAACTGGCTTTCTCGGACGGTATTTTTGGCCATTCATACAATTTCTTCTATTATTGATTGGTTTGACTTCGATTGTCGATTGGATAGATCAAAAACTCATACCGACAGTAATACATAAAAATCAACAAGAATCATCATCGGCATCATCTCATATAGATAGTGAATTAGAACAAGAAGCAAATAACTTAAAAATTCAATTTTGGTTAGAAAATAGTGAGAAAAAGAAAACTGGACCACGATTTGCAAGTTATGATCTATTTGTTCCTAGTTTAAAATGAATCTTTACACTAATATTTATACAATTAAAAACACTTCATCGAATTTTAAACTGTTCAAGTCTAGACCTTCCATTTTTTTTTTATTATGTAGATATCATTAAAATTCCATCACAATTTATTCATTACAAACTTCATTTGAAAAACTATAGATTATTATACGAACTATCGTGTATTACATAATAACTATTTTGAATTGTAAATATTCTATATTCTAAAAACCTATTTAATCCAGCTTATTTTGTCTAAAAAAGTTTTGTTAAAAATATGATTCAAACCAATGATTGCTAACACTCAAAAGACAAATAAGACAGACATTAGCATGCGTTAAAGTTGCTTGAATAATTAGTTGATTATTTGATGAACAAGATGAAGTAGGTATTTGACAAATATTTCTTGTTCGATTTTTACTTATACTACAATCGCTAAACAGACAATTGATTTTTTTCGATCGATAAAAATTTCAACAACTTTTTAATATTCTTTTTATGACATAAAAATACTTGTTAAAGTAGATTAACTTTAATAAAGTCATCTTGCTGTTTTAATCTTAATAATTAATTTGAAAAAAATCACCTATTAACGTTTCATATCTCGATATGACACTTTCAGATGTTCAATTCAACATGTAATTACCTAGAAGTTAAAATAAGAACAAACAAAATAGACTGTTTTCTTCTTTTCGTTTTTAGTTATTTCTTTGATAATGACAAGAAAAAGCAAGATAATAATAGACAAGACTAGTTAAGAATATAAACATTTTGTGTATCACTATCAAAGAATGAATAACAAAAAAAAAAAAGAAGACATTAGTCTGATTTGTTTGTTTTTATTTTTACCTATACATAATTGCATGTTAAGTCATTTTCATTTTAGTGGGTGCAGAAGCAACCCATCAAGATAGGAAACGTTACTAATTTTTGTTAAATAATTAATAATATTACATTTAATAAAACTTCATTTAATCTGATATAATAGCGTCGAGCATAAAAATGATGAGGCAATTATTGAAAGAAAAGATTTCAAAAGCAAACCTTCAACGACTTTGTAACAAACTATGTATGAAAGCAATAGTACATGAAATTTAATTCAATATCTAATAAATCGAACAAATGTAAAAATTTTCTTTTTAATGAAAAATTTTTATTAATATGAGATTTTTCAATCTTTTAACGATCATTTTCAACCAAATACCAAGACCGAAGATGTTATATACATAGACAATTTATTAGATATCGAATTAAGCCTCATATACTATTGCTTTCATACATAATTATTATATATTAAGTAGAATTTATACATGAGTTATATAAGTAGGTGTATAGATATTTGGAATAAGTTTCATTGCAATTTATGATAGTCCAATAAATAACATTTTATACATGATGTTATTACATTGAATTATCCTAATCATTCGAATGGGTTTATATAGTAATATCGTTTCTGATGTTATGGATTATGATGGTACTGTTCATGAAAATTCTTTATAATAATATTGTTCAGGACTATATTTTCCTTTTTTGTTTTTGTTTGTCTGTGTTTATAACATTTATGCTTTTTCTATTTGGTTGGAAATGATCGTTCAAAGATCGAAAATTCTCATATTAATAAAATTTTTCATTGAAAAAAAGAAAATTTCTACATTTGTTTGATTTATTAGATTTTGTAACAAACTCTGTTTGTACTACGTCTCTGATCGAAATCATCCTCTATTTGTGTTCGATTGAGCTGATGAGTTGAATTTGAGAAGATCTTTTTTTCTATTGAAATGTTTCGTCACATAGCTTGCAAAAAATTTGATCTATAAAAATTGTGAACACTCCTATGTTTTGTGATCCAATAATGCACGTTCTTTCGTACTACTGACAGTATACCGACACTGGATTGCGGATCAGAACACAGCCATCATTATAGCATAGTAGAATGATAATCACCAGATAGACGACTGCTCAAGTATGAAACTGCCATCAATTAATAGTTGGTATACCTCACGTTATATCAAGTGTCCTACCGAGGATTTATCGGTAGTTTTTGTCCAGTTTTTGCCATGGACGATATCTCTAAATTAGGTTTCGATTTCATTCAACATCACATTCTGACAACACACAGATGAAAAAGGATAAAAGGTAGAGATATTTTAACAAGAAACTGAATAGAAAAACACTTTCTTTTCCTTTTTTCTCGGACAGGAGGTTACACGTAATGCATTATCTGCTGGGCCTCCCGACGTTTCGTCGCTGTCATTCCGAACATCCATCTTTGACTTTATCTATTCCGAACCCCCGTGTAAAGTTTTACGAACATCCGTTTATTGTTATTCCGGACATTCGTATATTCTTATTACAAACATCCGTTAAAATTATTCAGTCTCTCATACAGAAATGTGCGTGTCGTTGCCGCCCCGAACACCGGTTAAAAATTTTTACGAACATCCGTTTATTTTTCGATGATCGTTCCGAAGATCCGTATTTTTCTAATTCCGAATATCCGATATTGTTATCATAAAAGTAATGATATTTTGAAGAAAACGGATGTTCGGAATAAAAAGTAGCGACGAAGCGTCAAAATACCCATCTGCTCTGTCTCACTATTGTTTGAATTATTTATTATATAGGGTGATGTTTCTCGTTGCAATAACCAAGGCAATAAAACTTGTCACAATCAGATTAGAAGATTTTTATTTTCTGTGCTATTGCACTACTTGCTTCTCTTGATTGTTGTTGTCTGATTTTCTCGTAGTAGTCAGCACAGTGTCTTCGGACATCGCGATCAGATCCTTTCTTTTCTTGGAGCTTGTGATTAGCGAGTTTGTGCTTCGTTTAGCTTGTTGACTGTTGTCTCGGATCAGGTTTCAGATTCTCGAATGGCACACCAAGGAGTAAAGATCGCCCAAATACGACAGCCAGGAAAATAAAAACCTTGTGTTCTGATTGTGACAAATTTTATTATCTTGGTTGTTTCAACGAGAAACATCACACTATGCAATAAATAGTTTAAACAATAGCGAAGCAGAGCAGATGATACATTATGTGTAATCTCCTGCCCGAGAAAAAAGGAAATGAATGTGTTTTTCTATTCAGTTTCTTGTTAGAGTCAATTTACTGATAGATGACTACATATCCACACCCATACCCAAACATGATAGGTTACTGAATATTGCAGTCCTCGGTATCAGTCGAAAGTATTTGTAAAATATTTTTTCTTACACACGATTTTATAGAGCTTTTGCCGGGCTACAACCTCATATACGTAGCATCTCCCGTCATCTTGTTAGTGTGGGTATGGATGGGTGTGGGTGTGTAGTCGTCTGTCAGTAAATTAACTCTAATTACTTAAAAGTCTTATGAAAATAGAATTTACTCTATGCTATTCAGCGGGCCTCAAAAAGCTCTACAACATGGCATATTTGGTTTTTCATTTCTGAATAGGTTATTAGGCCTAGGGCTGTTCCACATCAGTTCCAATCTTGAGAACTGTTCCTACCCGTTCTTTGATAGAAACTGATCTGTCTTTACCGGTTCTTTGAGAGGAACTGATCTGTTCCTAACAGTTCTTTTCATAACAACTATCCTAGTGGGTATCCATAAGTTGTCAAGGGCTATCCTATCGGGGTATCTTTAGTTGGTCGAAACCTTTTTCTATCGAGCAATCAGATACAGGGGAGCCATTTCTCTGCTTTTGTAATGACAAAACATATTGTTGTTTGGATCATAAGAAAGAAGACCGCGGATGACCTCCTGATCGGCCTGAACAACACTATGTTTTGTCCTTACGATAGAGGGAAAACCCTGCAAAAATCTGATTGGTTTTCAATCAACCAATCATATTTCAGGAAGCTCTTTCTGTGCTATTGTTAGGACAAAGCATAGTGTTGTTCAGGCCGATCTCGGAGTTATCCGCGGCCTTCTTTCTTATGACCCGAACAACAATATCTTTTGTCATTACAAAAGCGGAGAAACGACTTCCTTAAATCTGATTGATCGATAGAAAAAGCTCTCGACCAACTATGGGTGCCGCCATGGAGTAACCCTCAATGACCTAGAGGTACACCTATAGGTAGCCCTTGATAACCTGTCGAGCAGCTCCAGCTTCCAGGAACTCTACGCTCACTTTCCGATCCAGCTCTCGCGAGCTGTAGAGCTGGAGCTGTCACACACCTAATAGGAACTGATCTGCCTTAATAGTTCTTTGATGGGTACCGTTCTATGTAGCAGTTATTTTGGAATGAGTTGATACTATCAGACATCTCATTTCAACCTTTCCATTATATTTGTAGTTGGTCCATTCTGAACTATGCTTGTCAACTGCACAAATATGCTGGAATGAAATTAAAGGAAACTTAATGCTAGAATAGAAGAGCCCAATTCTCAAAAGGTGGACTAGTCCCTAGGATGAGTTCTAAAAATAGAAGTATTCAAAGACACAGTTCCAAAAACAGTACTGGCCACTCTATCCAGTTATCAAAAAAGAACTGGCGGATGTATCCAGTTCTCAAAAAAGAACTAGTTAGTCAATCTAATTCTCGAAAAGGGAACTGTTTATAGTCTACAGTTCTTCGAAAAGAACTGCCGGATGTATCCAGTTCTCAAAAAAGAACTAGTTAGTCAATCTAATTCTCGAAAAGGGAACTGTTTATAGTCTACAGTTCTTCGAAAATATGCAGTTCATAGAACTGAAAGCTGCCCTAGGCCTATAGGTTACCTTATCCGACAAGATCCTTTAAACATCGGACTTAGAACTTTTGGTCAACCCTAAGTATATCTAGCTTTGATGATTTTTCGATTCCAATAGTGGTCCATTATGCCGATAAAATGATTGCATATCTATCGGTCACATCAGCCTCAACAACATTGAGAACTTTCATCCCTCATGATACTACACTTTACTTTCTAAATTGATGCAGTATCGAAATGTGCAATAAAACTTTATTCGACTTTAGTGTGCATTGACTTTATTTGCAAGAATATTCGAAACCTATTTATAACTTCGTTATCAAATGCGAG